AACATAGCCTTCACGGCATTTTCTTAGTTATTGTGTTAAGACATTTATATTCTACACCTAGTAAATTTCACATGTACCCTTGTAAGATGCACCATAGGTGTGGTCCCACCAATTACTCTCCCTCCACCCATCCTCCCCCCCTCCTCCCTCTCCCCTTCTTATTGGGCTATAATTGGGTTATAGAAAACTATAAATTGCTTTCATAGTAGAGCTGAGTACATTGGATACTTTGTCCTCCATTCTTGAGATACTTTGCTAAGAAGAATATGTTCAGCCTCTATCCATGTAAACACGAAAGAGGTAAAGTCTCTATCTTTCTTTAAGGCTGGTGTACATATACCACAATTTATTGATCCATTCATGGGTTGATGGGCACTTAGGCTTCTTTCATGACTTAATTGCTTATGAATTGGGCTGCAATAAACATTCTGGTACAAATTAGTTTGCATTCCCACCAGTAATGTAGAAGTGTTCCCTTTTCTCCACATCCATGCCAACATCTCTGGTTTTGGGATTTTGTGATGTGGGCTAATCTTACTGGAGTTAGATGATATCTCAAAGTAGTTTTGCTTTGCATTTCTCTGGTGATTAAGGATGATGAGCATTTTTTCATAAGTCTGTAGGCCGTGTGCCTGTCTTCTTCAGAGAAGTTTCTCTTCAAGTCTCTTGCCCACCCTGAGATGGGATCACTTGTTCTTTTCTTGCCAATATGTTTGAGTTTTCTGTGAATCCTGGTTATTAAACCTTTGTCAGAGACATAACCTGCAAATATCTTCTCCCATTCTGAGGGCTGTCTGCTTGCTTTACTTACTGTGTTCTTGACTGTGCCTTTTAGTTTGATCAGGTCCCAGTAGCATATTTTTGATGCTGCTTCAATTGGCCAGGGGGGTCCTCCTCATAAAATATTCACCTAGGCCGATTTCTTCAAGAGTTTTCCCTGCACTTTCTTCTAGTATTTTTATAGTTTCATGTCTTATGTTTAAATCTTTAATCCAGTGAGAGTCTATCTTAGTTAAGGGTGAAAGGTGTGGGTCCAATTTCAATCTTCTATAGGTTGTCAGGCAGTTCACCCAGTGCCAGTTGTTAAATAGGGAATCTTTCCCCCCACTCAATGTTTTTAATTGGCTTGTTAAAGATCAAATAACAGTAAGTAGCTGGGTTCATCTCTTGGTTCTCTATTCTGTTCTATACATCTACTTCTCTGTTTTTGTGCCAGTACCATGCTGTTTTGATCACTATGGATTTATAATATAGTCTGAGGTCTGGTAGTGTAATTCTTCCTGCTTTTTTTTTTTTTGAGACAGAGCCTCAAGCTGTTCCCCTGGGTAGAGTGCCATGGCATCACAGCTCACAGCAATCTCCAACTCCTGGGCTCAAGCGAGTCTCCTGCCTCAGTCACCAAGTAGCTGGGACCACAGATGCCCACCACAACTCCCAGCTATATTTTGGTTGCAGTCATCATTGTTGTTTTGGCGGGCCAGGGCTGGATTTGAACCCGCCACCTTAGGTGTATGTGGCTGGCACCTTAGCCACTTGAGCCACAGGGGCCGAGCCCTGCTTTGTTTTTATTTCTGAGTAATGTCTTGGCTATTCAAGGTTTTTTCTGATTCCATATAAAATGAAGTATTATTTTTTTTTGAGATCTTTAAAGTATGGAGCTTTAATGGGAATTGCATTAAAATTATATATTGCATTGGGTAGTATGGACACTTAAAAAATGTTGATTCTTCCCAGTCATGAGCATGGTATGTTTTTCCATTTGTTAACATCTTTTTTTTCCCACATAGTTAACATTTTTATTAAACTTTTTTTTAGCCTCATTGTAAGAATATAAGGGAGATCATAGATTTGATGTATGAAATTATTAAATTCACACTAATATACATCAAGATTAAAATGATTTCTTTTCAACCACCCAGTCATTTTGCTACCTTTTGCTGAGTAATCTTGTGCCAGTCATTGTGGAAAAATCTTTATTTTAAGAAAAAAATTTAGTTAACAAAAAAATTTAACAAGTTTCACTTAGCAAAATGCACCCAAAAGGAAATCACAAAAAAAAAAAAAAAAAAGGAAATCACAATACAAAGAAAGTTTTAAGTCAAGGCCTCACCAATTCCTACGGTATTAGTATTGTGTCTCAATTCTCAAAACTAACTCTTAAAGGCTTAAACTTAACCTAAAAGATTTTAAATGAAAATAAACTAGAATGAACATGAGAAATATTTCTTTTTGAATCAGGGAGCTAGCACCTTTGAGTTTTCCAAAAAGCACGTCTTCCCAGTGTGTTCACTGCCATGTGGTGGCAAAAGGTCCATATTTAACACACTTAAACTACTTAAACTCAGATAACATTACTCTAAAGTATACTACCAAAATGTTAATTGGGAAAGCTGAAAATAGTTTTAGTTTACTCAATATCACATGCTAGAAGAAAAGTTTGCATGAGAAAACACTGAAGAGGTAATTTTTTTAATCCAGATTTCACAAACTCATGGTGCAAAATGGGTCCCCACAGCTTCCTCTAGAGTTATAACTGCTCTTCATTGCTTGTTGGCTGCCTGTGAAAATTTGATTGAAAAAACTTAAATGTTCCTACAAAACTAGTCATACCCACCCATGCTGTTCTGCCCGCTGTAGCCAGCCCCGTAGCAGCTGCTGACAGACTGGCTCTCCAGCCCACTGTAGGTAGCCTGGGCTGCTGACACCCCCATGCCTTGCATCACCTGGCTGCTGTATGCCCCACTGCTGGCCCCTGTTGTTGAATTCAAGAAGAGCTCTATGTATCTGTGCTGCATATTAGCCCTGTCTTTGGACATTGCCACTACAGCCTCTTCGTGAGTGGCAAACTCTACATCTGCTTTGTGAGTCACTCTTCCATCTGGGCCAATCTCGATATGCACTCTCACAGGGTTGAGTGGAGAGAAGAAGTTGTAAATGTCATTCTCAGTCTCTTTGTATGGCAGCCCCCTCATGTGGTGCAGTGCCCAGTGGTGCTCTGCACTGCAAACTCACCATCTCCATATCTGTGGTCATACATCCCAGATGTATGTAGCTGGGGTCTCTCCCAAATAGGTCAGTGGTGAAGCCGTAGCCATCGCTGAGGCCGCTGTACTCTTCATAGCCACTGTAGCCTGCACTGTAGGCGCCAGGCTGCATCCTATCCAGGCTGGCTTGCTTCACGATGCCGATATATCTCCTAGCTGTGCCAGGGCAGTCATAGGGCCTTTGCCACTGCACAGACATGAACTTTAGAGGGGGATCAGAGTATGACCTAACTTCCTCCTAACTGCTCTTGAACACTTCTTGAACCTGTGCCCTATCCTCCTTGTGCTTCCCCAGAGCCTTCTCAGCTAACTCCTGGGAGGCAGACTGCACAAAAGCTTCCCCTGTTTTCTTGCCCTTGGGGTCCACAGGTAATGTGATCCCATTTGGCACGATTTCCAACCCTGAGAAGAATTGGACAATTTCTTCCTTTGTGCATCCAAATGGGAGTCCTCAAAGCCCAACGAAGCCATCGTTGGCGCTGTCAGCACTCTTGGGACTGCTGTGCTTCAACACCCAATCCATCTCGGTTCTGTGGACTTGAACACCTCGATGTACTGGTGTCTCATGCTTTCCCTGTCTTTTTTCAGGGCTATTTTTACATCATCTTCTCATGTTCAACAAAAGCCTCACCACTCTGCCTGCCCTCTCTAGTGTAGATGAAGTAGACATCTGCGGTCCCATCACGAATTGTGCAGTTGGAAAGGAAGTTCTGCACGTCCTCAATAGAGCAGGACCAGGGTAGGCCACAGAGCTTGACCACAAAACCTTCACCTCCCTCGGGGCCCAGCATCATGGACACTTGTTAGGGCACTGATTTTTTTTTTTTTTTTTTTGGAGGCTTAAAGAACTTTGGATGCCTTCAGTGGGAGACACTTCCCGTAGGTAACAAATTGTCCATGGAGTTGAGCAGGACAGATTTCTATTAAGTAGCAAGGCTTACAGCTCAAAGCCCTCAAATTCCACCTGAAGCTTAACAATGCAGAGAGCTCCGAGGAAAGTCCAGGTGCATCTTTTTGTTCTTAACCTGAAACAGAAATTCAAGTGGCCAGGGGGCAAACACTTTCTGCGAGGCTGGAAAACCAGCAGCGCGGCTGTGCGTGTTTTGGCGGGAAGCACCGAAGAGATCGTGAGACAAACTGCGTTCCCGTGGCCTCCGCCTGGCAAATGCACCTTGTTAACATCTTCAGCTATTTCTTTTCTTAGAGTTTCATAGTTCTCTTTATAGAGATCTTTCATGTCTTTTGTTAGGTAAACTCCCTATTTCATCTTCTTTGGCACTTCTGTGAATGGAATAGAGTCCTTGACTATTTTTTCAGCTTGACTACTGTTGGTATATATATAAAGGCTACAGATTTATGAGTGTTGATTTTGTAACTGGAGATGCTGCTGTATTCCTTGATCACTTCTAGGAGTTTTGTAGTAGAATCCCTGGTGTTTTCCAGATATACAATCATATCATCTGCGAAGAGTGAAAGTTTAAGCTCTTCTGACCCTAGATGGATACCCTTGATCACCTTTTCTTCCCTAATTGTGATGGCTAAGACTTCCATTACAATGTTAAAAAGCAGTGGTGACAATGGGCAACCTTGCCTGATCTAAGTGGAAATGATTTCAATTTTACTCTATTCAATATGATACTGGCTGCGCGTTTGCTATAGATGGCCTCTATCAGTTTAAGAATGTCCCTTCTATACCAATTTTCTTTTCTTTTCTTTTTTTTTTCTTTTTTTTTTTTTGAGACAGAGCCTCAAGCTGTCCCCCTGGGCAGAGTGCCATGGCATCACAGCTCACAGCAACCTCCAACTC